TCTCGACAATCGCGTTGGGAATAATTTTATTCTCAATTATCTTCTCAAGCGGCGAGTCTGCCATTTACGAAAGCAGAATCACAATTTACGTAAAATCGAATTTCTTGCTTGAGATTGCGAGATCTATTACTATATTATATATACATTTTATGTATACAATGTAACAATATTAATATAATGATGCAGTTTTATTATGTTATATATAACCGCGCCAACCCATAATTTTATATTTTATAATTACTTGTCGCGCGTGTAAGTATAATCCATCATATTAATTAAATTTCACATTACTATATATATAGTATAGCTATTGCTATATTATATACACATATCTATAGCAGAGAAAATTTCGCGCGTCTTCGTCATTGAGCGTTCTGTAATCTAGATTTTTAATTGATTAAAAAATTAAAAGAGTATACTTCTTTTAAGTAAGGTAAATGTCGCAGTGGCCGGACGTTTAAGCGTAGGTCGTCACAAATAATACAATTTATAATATTAGAAAGATTTTAAATATAAATATTTGCATTCAATCGAAAGCTTAAGATTCCCTTAAGTAGGGAAAAATTATTTGAAACCATATATATCAATTATTAATTAAATATTTACATAAATAATGGTACGCGTCAATGTACCAGTGGCCGGACAGCTGAAATAGGTTACGGCCCAGTGTGCGGACATAACTTGTCCCAGTGTCCGACCATAACTAGAAAATTAATATGCTGACGAGAAATATTGATATAAATAGATATTTAATGACAAAATACAATTCTAATTTAAATTGGTATTTATACTTAATGATATTTTATTTTTGTCAAAAATTATAAAAATAATTTGTTGCATAACCTGGAAACATAAAACAGAGCATTTAATTTACAAGCTAAATTTCTTAACAACAGTGAACATGCAGATAACAGATTGAATAATAATACATAATAATATAATTAGTAAAATAAAGTTTAATTTTTGTTTGACACTTTTTTAATAACTTTTTCTGTTCACGTAAAATATTTTTTCTTCTATTTGTATCATTTTCAGCTTTCTCTGTTTTCTTTTCCTCAATTTCTTTAATTTTTTACAGTCTTTTTTGTTCTCTTTTTTACTTTTTATCTTTTTTTATTATTATTTGCACATACGTCCGGCAAGTGGGATCACTGGTATTTTTAATGTACCAGTCTCCGAACGCTCAAGAATATCGTTTTAATTGTGATTTTTATGATGAATTTCGTCAAAGAGAGTTTCTAATTAATTTTTGAAATTAGATATTCAATTATTTATTCACAAATATAATTAAATATCCAATTTTCATACTATTTAATTAGATGCTTACGCTTAACAAATTTGTTAACGATCGGCCATCATTTTGCCTAACTTTAGACACATGCTTATTTAATCAATTTTTTTTAATACAATAATTTTTAATTAAGTTAATTTTTTTTCTCCATTTAATCGTCAAATGTTGGGGTTTTTTTACAATGATTATTATTTTCATTCATAATTGTTCAAATACATGGTAAATATTTTTTTTCAATGTGGTCGGATATTGGGACATGTCCGGCCATTGGGACATTTACCTTAAGCGTATTATTACAACCTCGAAAAAATGAAGCATACACGCATCTTTCCCTCATTTTACTTGTTTTCGTTATCTTATACAAAAAACATTATACAGACTGCATATTTATTAGATTTATCCAAGAGTTTTGCGACGCATCTTCTGGCGCGTGACCCTCTATATTTTGTCGTGTCCCTCGAGAAACGAAATTTCTCCCAGTTTCCCGTCTACCGTGTCTCGAAAGAATGAGTCGCTTTTTTTCCTACTTTCGAAGTTAGACAAACGGTCCATATGAAGTATCGATATACCTAGCCAAACACTTCCAACGAAGTTCTATCGAAGGTATATAAGCAATTTGTTTTGTCGAGCGGAACTCGCCGATACCGATATATATGAGCCGAGTTTTCAACAAAATGCTGTTGCGGCTTGGACATACTTCTTCCAACAATAAAGTGACCAGACGTACAGCACGCGTTGCTGCATTGTAGCGTATTTTCATTCAAATCTGCTATCGCATAGGAACGTGTATCGTTACAGGTATACGGCAATTTAACATGTTGCAGCTACACTGCGAAAATTTTTTTTTTAATTCAAACATATTTTTGTCTGAATTTTCAAATCTGGATGTTTGAAAGAAATTTCATCTGTCTTAATCATCAGAAACGTTTTTCTGAAAATTCAAAAGAGTGTGTCTAAAAATTGAAATGTGTCTGAAAATTCAGATAGCATTCTGTCTGAAAATTCAAACAATGTGTCTGCAAAAAAGCTACAGATGCTTTGTCTAAAGTTTCAGTCAATTTTTTTACATTGTATGTGTAGAATATAACTAATAAATGACGGAACATAGTCATTGTGCATTAAGCCTGGGCGACGCGTGTGGTGGACCTTCCAAAGGATACGACACTTCACTGGGAGCAATTCCACCAAGAAATTTCGGCTTTCTTGCAATTTACGCGAGATTTGCTTAAATCCAAACATAGGGTACATTCGGAGTCTTTCGATTATCCTTAGGTAATTTTTGAATTTGCTTTTTCTATTTTTTGTAGAAACATACAGAATTCATAGAGAAACTTTTACTTTACTTTAGATTAAATAAAACTGATAATATATTAATTATTACACATCAATTATATTATAATTAATTAAAAATAATTTAAATATGTTTTTTTTTTTCTCAACAACAACGTAAGCTCAGTCCGTCATAAAATTTTTAAAAAATTAAATAGATGTTGGAGGAAGAGATGGTGGGGTAGGGTACAAATTTGGATTGCCTATCAAAATTCGTATGTATGCAACTTTAATATCTTATAATTTAAAAATATAAATCGTTCATATATATAACATATTTTCTGTTTTTAAAATTTCTTTTAAAAATACCTTGTAAATTTACCGCATAAAAACTTTACACCAAGTGTTTCCTTTATATTTATCTTTCCCTTTTTTCACAAATCCATTAAAGTCGCGTATAATAACTATGTAGTGGTTTTACGCAATAATCTGGAAATCTGATTTTCTTAAAGGATGATTACTTTAGAATGCAACGATAACAGAATTTACGTTCGAGAATTTCCGATAGAAAAATAAATTTAAGTAAATTTCAGATTAATGAAGAAAATTTTGAACTATAAACCAAACCTTCTCACACTATCTCGAAGAGTCTAATTAGAAATTAGAAATTTTCTTTATATCAAAAGATACGATAAAAATAATATCTAAATAGCGTAAAATAACGTAATCATCCAATAATTGCCTTTAACTAATCTTACATTAATATAGACAACTTGTAATGAAATTACGTTAACCACTAAAATTATGATATTAGCAAAAATTTAATATTAATTTCGCATCATTCAAATTCATTCTCGATAATACAAGATCGGCGAATTTAATTATGCGTGTAATCGACTAACGACTCTCGATAATACAACGAGAGAAAAGTCTTTACTCGGACACGGCAAGATAATCATGTGAATGATCTTCTCTCGCGAATCGCCGAGTTTCATCGCGGATTATGACGGCAATTCTCGCGTTTTGGTTAACAGCGAGGAACATAATCGCGCGCAATTTCGAGATTCGTCGTACTCTATTGCCAAACTTGAAAGCGCGCGCGCTTGATTTGATCTCATATACGATATTCCTGAGACTCGATCTTCTCGCTCAAGAAGCCACGGACGTCGGACGAGGCTTTCGAAACTCCCGAGGGGTACCGACGAATTAATCTCAAGACTCAAAGTTTGGCAGAGTTCCGCCGCGCTGCTCGATTTTCATTTCTCCTCGATTGCGGTTTCGTCTTCTGCACGCGTTGATGCGAGATTCCTTATTAAATAGATAATAGATTATAGTAGAAAAAAATAATATCTGTATATACTATGGATTGATTGCAAAGGATTCATCGGGCGTGTGTTTCTCAATTAAATTATGTTTTAAATTAAGCTACCAATTTCAATTTTCTGGATAGAAGACTGAAAAACTTCTTTCTATATAAAAAAGATATATTGAAGTCACACAGTAATGACTACTTCAATTAATAAAAATTATTTATAATTTATGTTACATTTTGTTTTCAATTTTATTCGAATAAATACTGTTTATCGTATATATAATAAAGAGAAAAAAAAAAAATGCATTATAATGATTAAAAAATCTTATCTAATATCTTATTATTATTACAATAAAAATCAGCTTTTATTGCTTTTATTCTGAGTTGCAATGTTACAGCTACAGCAAAATGATCATATTCTAATACGTAAAATCATATTGAATTATTTTTATAATTGAGATTTTTGTGAGTATTCACGTACCAATACATATAACAATCAATGGGATATTCATGACACACACAATGAGTAAGATACAAAACAATAAGATAAATCTCTTTTAAATTAAGATGAATTTCTTGATAATTAGTCAAATGATCAATTATTCATTCGATCACGAACGTAAAAAATGATATTGTTTGTTTAAATTGTCGTATAAACGCCACTCAATCTCTTTAATAAAGTTTCAAACACATACACGCACGTACATAGTTAATGTAATTAGTAAATTCTTACATAATAATAAAAATAATAATTTTTATTGAAACTTTATTCAATGCGCTAACAAGTTTTTCTGAAGTATATTTCGTATATCAGATAAACATTACGTGGTTTCAAAAATGGCGCCCGCTTTCATAGGCGTCTACTTTTTTGCATGTGTGTGTATGTATCGAGGAAATTTATACAAATTATAAATATATGTAGATAGATCTTTAAAACGACGTTACTTGAAAACTTTACCGAGCACGGCCATTAAAAATTAAAATTAGATTCTTTAACGAAGCACTCTAAGAATATATAACTTCGTCAGATTAAACTTCGAATCTTGCATCGATAGTTTACAACGGCGCAAAATACGAGAACGCGAAAAATTCTACATTAAGATTGTTAAAAAAAAGTATATCACTCACCGCACGACGAAATTTCAATAGCGCAGCGGGTTGGCGGCCAGCGATGCGATGATTTTGGATAACATAACTGTTGCTTCTGATGCTAAATGATAACCCGATACGCCGAACAGAGAATGGAATACCGCGCGTTCCGTACCAACGGATAGACGGTGCGCGACTGTGCGCCCGCCACTCTCGCGGTCCCCCTTTTATGGGTCGTCGCCCGCGCGTCCACTCAAACGTCGACACTCGCTACTTGACGGTTAATGTCCCTCGGATGCGACAATGAATCTCTCGCATCGCTTATAGCGTTATTTTCAACTAACAATAAGGAGAGATAATATAATTAGTTTCTCAAGCTTCAAGATGCATTAGCAATTTTCTCAAATAAATTTCATATCATCAAATAGACTAGTCCGACGTTGAAAAATGGCGCCTCCTTTCACGAACGTCTACTTTTGTAGATGTGTCGAGGAAATTTATGTAAATTACAAAATATATCTATGGGTAGGACAGACTTAAAATGATGTTACCGAAACTTTACCGAGTACGGCGATTAAAAATTGAGATCAGCCTCTTTAACGGAACATTCGGAATATATAATTTTGTCGGACTAAACTTTGAATCTCGTTGGTATAATTGGCGCAAAGCGCGAGAACGCAAAAATCTTACGTTAGACCGTTAAAAAAATTTATGATTCACCGCACGACAAAACTCAACAGTGTAGTGGCTCGACGGGCAATGATGCGACAATTTTTGAAGATATAACTATTCTTTTTGATACTGAATGAGAGATAGCCGAATACGCTGAAAATAATAATAAGATACGCCTGCCGCGTGTTCCGTACCAACGAACAGATGCGACTATGCACCCGCCACTTTTGCGAGCTTCCTTTTACGATCGCTAGCGCATTCGCTCAAATGTCGAAATTGTATATATATATATATATTTATGATAAAAATATTTGAAAAATTTCAGGACACACATACGCACACGCATATGCCACGCGTGCGCGCGCATGCACGCACACGCGCGTGCGCACACACACACAAATCATATATCAGAATTTACATGTATATAACATATGTTATAATGTGCTTATGTATATAACAAAAATTCGGCACATAAAATGATAAATAAAATTTTATCCTGAATTCTATCGCGAGTGTGAAAGGCCATAAAAAGCCTAAAGAAAGAGAGTGCACTTTCCTCCAAAAATAATTTATAAATATAGGCATCTCTCTTCCTCATTAGAATCATTATATCTTGAGACATGAATTATACATATAACGGAATATATATATATATATGCACTTCTCATATATAGTTCCGATATGCGTTTGAATTCAAGAACGGAAATTTTCGCGCCATATAAGCGCGCATGCGTTAAATAGAATCTTATTTTTATAAATAAAATGCAAAAAGAATATTTGCAATATATTATATAAATATAATACTATCAATATAAATATGTTCTTTGTGATCTGTGTATTTAGAATCAATATGTGAAATTATATAAAAGATATATCACACAAATAAAATGATAAGATTTATATTTTTATATTAGAATTGATTTGAATATATACAAGTATTACAAATTATTGGTACGATGTTTTTATTAAGGTAATTTTCTCTTTGTAGGCTCTTCGTGCACTCTAACAGGAAGAGTGGAGCGTGGGCCACACTTCCACACATTACCATCCTTATCGAGTATACTCGCGCTTGCTGTAATTTGATATTGACCACCGCTACCCGTACTACCAGAAGTATTTCCACCAGCTGCGCACGGAAATACAATCGCAGGTCCAGGTATTCCTAAGGAAAGTAAAAACTCACAAGCGAAGAAATCACGATGAGGTATAACCGTTTGCTGTAATTCATTCATATTAGAATCCTGCAAACAAACAAAAAAATATTATTTAATATTATTATTTAATATAGTTTCGCTTGAATCTCGTTCATTGAGTCTTTTAATATTTCTTTTCTTATCTCTAATTTATTTTCAAATATTGTCAAACATTTGATATAGTTTATATACCTTCTCATCATTTGATATGCATACAATAATATTCCGTTTAATTTTTAATAACTAATATGGTCATATACAGGGTGGTCCATTTTAAAAGAGCCAGTCAAATATCTCGAAAAATATGGAAGATACGGAAAAAGTTTCAGACAAAAGTTGTTTGGTTCGAAGGGGGACATAAGATGGTTTTCCGTATCTTCCATATTTTTCGAGATATTTGACTGGCTCTTTTAAAATGGACCACCCTGTATAAGAGAGAGCTATTATAATATATAGAAATTCAATCAAAAATAAATAAAATAGTATCAAAACTTTAATCGCACTTTTTTATGAGCAATTATATCTAAGAGAAATATAAAGAGATCTTATTAATATTCCAAATACATGTGGGATTCAAATAAAGAGAAGAAATGCAATAATGGATAAAAAAGAATATCTATTGATATCATTTTCCAAATATGTGATTCAAAGAAAAAAAGTAATGTAAAGCGAAGTGTAAGAGAAAGGCATTTGCCAAAGAATTTTGCATAATATGAAGAAGAGACAAACAATTACATAAGATAAAAACGTCAATGCAATTTAAAAACATGTATAAACCATAGAGAAGATAGAAAGAAAAAATGAGAGACGCTCATAAACTCTTGATAATAATAAATTCTGAAAATCTTAATTGTTTCATCTATATAATTATGAGAGATGCGATATTAAATGTTTTATTTACCTTTTGGTCAGAATTTATTTTCGAAGGCGGTGTCGTCGAGATGGAAATGCATACAGCAGCAACAGAACGGAAAAGGGCTGCTCGTCGACCGTGTCGTAATACACCTTCGACTTTAAGGGCCAGTTGATTACCTTGAGGCACAGACACGGGTTCACCGAGAACACGCGGTTGTGGCGACACCGATAGCTTAATACTAGTCGTCTGCAGCGTTTGGAAGAAATACCTAGGTATCGGCAATCTCATTGTTCCACCAGCGAGTAACGTGACTTGTGATATCAAACAACTGACTCTCAAGTGACTGATGGCTCCAGTCTTACCATCGGCGCCCACCCATGGTGGTGCTAAACAACGCAACTCGGCACAACAACGGGCCAACTGTCGCATTTCCACAAAATCGCCGAAATAAAAATTTACGGAATCGTTCTGCTGTTGATACATTGAAATACTAGGGCCGCCACAAACTCGCTCTACGCTGTTCGCCATTAATCGGCACATTTCTTGTAATCTACGTGAGATAAATTAAGATAAATATCCAAAAGTGCGCACCATTAAAGAAAGGACAGTTAACCAATTAATATCTTATTAATGAAAGGATACGCTCGAATATTCGCCAACGATCCTGGATCAGCATCAAAAGCTGACTGATACAACTTCTGATAATTGTCCGCACAGTTTCTCAAATCTTGCGCTGATTTTCTTAACTGAAAAAAAAAAGAAAAGTCTAATTTGATAAATATCATAGCATGTGTTCTATAAATATATGTTATCTAATCAAATTTAAATCATTTCACAATTATAATTGTAGAAATCATGCCTGGTGTGTAACGCGACCATATCTTTGCAGATCATCTTTCGTAGCAATGACAACGGTGACAGCTATAGCGGGTGGTGGTGCAGTGCATAAAGATCTAAAAGTAAATAATCTTTGGTTTCTGTGATACATTTTTGTAAATTACATATACTATATTGTTGCTTACATGCATGAATGCAATAGCTGGACTATGGCTTGTAAGAATTCACAACGTAATTTTGAATATTCACTTGGAAACTGCAAACTGCGCAGTGGAGTGCTGGCAGCTTTAAGAGATGCGCAAGCGCTCGCATAACGCGCTATCGCTCCATTCAATTTCTCCACAATCTCGGCTTTAGTAAAATTTTCTTCGCCTTCCTTTTTATCCCTATATGTATTATACATTATATTGTTATAGAAAGAATACAGATACACAAAATAACATATTGGTGTATCAAATGCAAGCAAAGCATATAATACCTACATGAGACAGCATTCCGCTTTTGTAACTAGTTCTAAACCAGACAGCCAAAAATGCAGTTGCTCCGATGCTACCGTTTCTTTTAGACTCTTAAATATTTCGGTAGCAATTGTATGATGACCATATCTTGCGGCGCTACGCGCAATGCGATATTTCGCCCAACCATCTACGTTTTTTACAACATTGTCTACTGCCTCTAAGCATTCCGAATTCCATTCGTATCCTCCAGCCACCATTTGGAATAGTAATGTACAAAGCATTACCTTTAGAAATTGAATTAAAATAGAATTTTTTACAAACATAATCATTTATCAAAGAACAAAACTTTTCTAGATGAAAGAGATAATTTTTTTCATATATTATGTAGAAGAATATATATTACCTTTGTATGTACATGCATAGTTTGTTTAAGCTTTACCAAAATGTCTGCTAAAAGCGGCAGCAGTGTATTTTCTCCTAAACTACCAATAGCGCCTAAAGCTTCGCACAGAGCGACCGTTTGCTTCTCGTTCTGACCGTTTTCCGCACTGGCATTGATAAGGGTGGAACCAATAGCATCAACAAATATAGTGCAATGACTAGGTTGCGACTGACACAGTTTTACTGTCGAACGTAAGCACACCTTTAACTGATATAAATGTTTATCGTCCAACGCCAGTAATACAATCAGAGATTCGAGACAAGAGATGACATCTTGTATACCATAAGCGGGCAGTCCTTCTTCGTAACTATGAAATAATCTATATTAATTAAATGTCTTCTATGTATGTAAGAGAAATGTGAGAAATATGTATATATACCAGTAACAGGCAACTCTGGAAAGTATAGTAATTGCTTTTACTGCGACAAATGGATCAGGAGAATAACACGCATTTAGACACAGCTGCAATAAAGGACTATTTTCCTCCATATTGGCATCACATGTCACAGAATTTTGGCTAAGTACCTGTGCATTAGAGAATTTCAATACATATGTATTCATATACAGGGTGTCCCCAATTTAAATGTCAAAACTTTAGGAGCGTGTAGGGGACCGATGAATACATATATTGTAAATTTTTGCAACTGAATGTGATCTTTATTGATTTAACTGACCTCAATTACATCTAAAGTGCGTATAAGAAGATCTGTATGTCCTGCACCATCTTGCAAAAGTGTCGTGGTACTCTCTGTGAATTATTAGATACTAATTATATCATTTATACAAATATCAGTATACATAAATGCAAGTATATTACAAGTATCTGTACCAATTAAATTACTAAGAGCACCCTGCGGCCAGAGATGCGCTCCTCTTCTCGCTAAACTATGCAGAAGATGTAAGGCGTGACGTTTTACGGACAATCTCGGATCATCTTGCAAATAGCGTAATAATAACACAACCTGTTGTGGCACATCTATTAATGTTGCAGAGGCCAGTGTACTTAGTGCACTCAGAGTGACTCTAACAAATTCAGCTGCTGGATAACTTGCAAGGAGCTCCATACATAATTCATTTACCTTCAATATAATAATATAATAATATAATAATATATGTATAGTTAAAGCATTTTTATTATAATCATGAGGAAGTCTTAGCAAGAATCAAATGGTCTAATCGGAAAACAGTTTGCACATGTTCCACTCGGCGGCACGGTTTGTGTTATCGTGCTCTTTTTCTTTTTGGACGCCGATCCAGAATATATCTGTATATATATTTATATTGAAATTATATTATGAAGCATATAAAATATATGAAACACATTCTAAAATGCACATAAACAGTATTATATACCATTGATGCTGTAAAAATGTCATGATGCATGTATTGTAGAATTGGTATAAGCTGCAATTTCATCGAGGCGGGTGTAGCTTGACCTCTAATCATATCGGAAATCTTACTGCACATTGATACAGCGAACAACTTAGACTGTGCTGCAAACATTTGGGCAGCATATATTGCAGCTTCTACTTCAACTGAATCATGAGAATCCAAGGATCTTCTTATACTATGGTGTACCTTGTGATAATAATTAATAATTTTATTACTTTTATAAAGCTAAATTTACATGCATTTATATTTTTTATTGAATAGTTAAATGTGTATTACTTGTTGTCTTTCAGGAATAATACCAGCTACACTGCCTAATGTACGCAAAGTAAGGGCCCTAGCAACTGGATCATTTGAATGTATAACACTGTAGATACGCCTTACAAATTCATCCACATTCAAGATTTTATCAAGATGCTTTTCGCTCTGCTGACACACCCTTAGGACCCATACTCGTAAAAAATTACTGCCAGTGCGAAATACTTCAGCCAATTTCAAAAGAGACGAATTTATCAATATTGGAAATGGATACTTTTCAAACAATCTAGGAAAACGTACTATAGCTTCGCATTGTTCTCCAGTTTTAGTAGAACGTAAACCTACAACCATATTGAAATTGATATTTATATTATAAGTCAATTATATATATACATGTGTGTATACACTATAATATTTAATTAGTTATTAATATTACTATTATTTGCCAAAAAATTAATATTGCTATTATATTTTATCTATAAACATTTATATACTAAAGACCAGAAAATTGATAATAAAAACAAACCTTTATCAAGCTCTATAAGCGCTGTATTTGCATCTTGTTCGGGTTCTCCAAGACCAGTATCATTAAACGCATTCATTCTCATTCCAATCATTTTTTCACAGTACAAATTACACTTAAAATATTGAAAAAACTATACTATAAATTATCATTCGTTGTGTCATAACCTTTATCTTGAAATGATTCTTTGAAGATTCTTACATAAAGTCTGCAAAAGTAGATTTAACAAAATACCAAGGTATATAGAAAAATTATCAAATGTGTAATTAATTAATTATTTATTCTATTTATTTGTTATCTTTATTTCAGTTCTTTGATTCAGCCCGCCATCACGGCAATCGCAATCTACTATGGTTACGAATTTTCAAAATGGATCTAGATAGTGTCTCGTGTATGTAAATCATCGATTGGTACCGACACGACATCTTTTATCCCGCTCGACAATTATAATGGGTCCAAAGTTCAGGATGGCGGAGTCGTCGTGCAACTGACAATCAAAGTTTGGCAAGTGCGATCCAAGGATTGGCGCTCTCACGAAAGCGAAAAAAATAGTAATTTGAGGTTTTCGTGCGCGATATTCGCGGTAAGAAAAAAAAAAAAAAAGAAAAATTCGTGCAACTGAAGGAATACGAAGAGCAACTCTACGAACGACGACTGGTATATCCAGGCGCTACGATGGTGGATTAGGTGGATTAGAAGAACATCGAAGTAAGGATGTGTCGCTCATTCTCTGGATCCAGCGCTCTGGAATATTCCAGACTAGGGATTGAATCTTGCCGGCTATGTACAACTTTTTGTGCCGGAAGTTACTTTATTACATTACTGCTGAAACGTCAATTATTATATGATTCAGAAATTCAGAGTTATATATTTACCGCAAAAATATAAAATAAAATATTCTAAATGATTTGTTATAGAGATTTTAATGTGCTATCAAATATTGCAAATTACTTAGTTTTTTGATTAATATCTAATTTTTTTATAATTATATAATTGTATGTTAAACAAAAACAATAACATTGTATATGTATTTAGATTTTACACATGGAAATGTAATTTTGTGTTGATTAATATTGTTGTTCTTGTCAGATTTCAGATGACGAAGATGATACACATCCAAACATCGACACCCCATCCTTATTCAGATGGCGTCATCAGGCACGGGTTGAGAGAATGGAAGAACGTAAGAAAGAACAGGAGGAACATATGAGAAAAAAAGCAGAGTATGAAATGACATTTGTTGTATGAATGAAATATTCTTTTTATAAAATTAAGTTAATTTATATTTTATTCATTATTTTAGAACGTTACAGAAATTAAAGGATACAAAAGAAAAGTTAGCTAAATTAGAAAGCAAACAGAAAGGAGCAACTCTACGAACGACGACTGGTATATCCAGGCGCTACGATGGTGGATTACAGCAAATGGAAGAACATCGAAGTAAGGATGTGTCGCTCATTCTCTGGATCCAGCGCTCTGGAATATTCCAGACTAGGGATTGAATCTTGCCGGCTATGTACAACTTTTTGTGCCGGAAGTTACTTTATTACATTACTGCTGAAACGTCAATTATTATATGATTCAGAAATTCAGAGTTATATATTTACCGCAAAAATATAAAATAAAATATTCTAAATGATTTGTTATAGAGATTTTAATGTGCTATCAAATATTGCAAATTACTTAGTTTTTTGATTAATATCTAATTTTTTTATAATTATATAATTGTATGTTAAACAAAAACAATAACATTGTATATGTATTTAGATTTTACACATGGAAATGTAATTTTGTGTTGATTAATATTGTTGTTCTTGTCAGATTTCAGATGACGAAGATGATACACATCCAAACATCGACACCCCATCCTTATTCAGATGGCGTCATCAGGCACGGGTTGAGAGAATGGAAGAACGTAAGAAAGAACAGGAGGAACATATGAGAAAAAAAGCAGAGTATGAAATGACATTTGTTGTATGAATGAAATATTCTTTTTATAATATTAAGTTAATTTATATTTTATTCATTATTTTAGAACGTTACAGAAATTAAAGGATACAAAAGAAAAGTTAGCTAAATTAGAAAGCAAACAGAAAGATTCAGCTGATTTAACTACGTTGAAAAAGGTTCTCCAAGATCTTGAAGAAGAAGAGAAAAAAATTAAAGAGAAGGAAGAGGAAATGAAAAAGAAAGAGAGATTGACACCTTGGAATGTAGATACCATTGGCCAAGATGGTTTTACAAAAACTGTGATAAATACAAAACCTCCTAGGAAGGATGATGATGCTTTATCTGATGAAGAAAAGGAGAAACGAATGAAGCAATTTGTTAAAGAAAACGAGAAAAAGTTGAAAGAATTTGGCATGCTAAGGAAATACGATGACAGTAAGAAATTCTTGCAAGACTATCCACATTTAGTTTGCGAGAATACAGCAAATTATTTAGTCATCTGGTGCATTAATTTAGAAATGGAAGAAGTAAGTGGTCCTGCAACAGATCATTTTTTTTAACATTTAATAATTACGATTAATTCTGTATTACAATATTCATCATGTATTTTCAGAAACACGATTTGATGGAGCATGTTGCTCATCAATGTATATGTATGCAATACATATTGGAGCTATCTAAGCAATTGGATGTTGACCCGCGCGCATGTGTCGGATCCTTTTTCAGTCGTATTCAAATTGCTGAAGTAGAATACAAAAATTCCTTTGACGATGAATTGAGAGCATTTAAGGATAGAATACGCAAGAGAGCAGCAGAAAAAGTGGCTGATGCGATTAGAGAGGCCGAGGAGGATGAGAGGAAGGCTCGTTTGGGTCCTGGTGGACTTGATCCAGTCGAAGTATTCGAAACTCTTCCAGAGGTAAATAAAAATTTGGCTTATAACATAAAAGCTTATATATTAGAGAGTTTCCTTTTTTTTCTTATTCCATCGCTTTCTGTTTCAGTCTTTACAAAAATGCTTTGAAGCGCAAGATATCCCTTTGTTGCAACAAACGATAGCCGCGATGTCGGAGGAAGAGGCAACATATCACATGAAGCGTTGCGTTGATAGCGGTCTATGGGTTCCCGATGCAAAAGCCAAGGAAAAGGAGGAACAAAACGCTGCGAAAGAAACGCCAGATCCGGAATAACGGCATTTCAATTGATCGCGTCTATGTACCATTATCGATACTCAGTGAAAATCAGTATCTCAGTTATACAGGAGTATTCTTTACGCATAATATGAAACACAGGTACATTAATAATAAAGTTGTCGTCTTTGCGAATTTTGACAATGTGATTATTATCTCCATAAAACTTCTTTCATAACTGCAATAACATATCGTTTCACGTTGATATGCTATTAAACTGAATTAATTTATAAGACTGAGTTATCGTTTCATAAATAGAAAACTTGGCATATGAAATATGTAAGAATTATTAATTAGGACAAATACTAGTGTTGAAGTGCTGTATACTTTTCTTCTTTGTGTATGGTTTGTTAGTATAAAAATTGCTTTCCTTATATATATACATATATATATACATTGTTAATCGTACTAATCGATGATTATTTCAATTTTGCACACCTCACACTATATTAATATTGTATATTAATCCAAAACAGTACTGTTATGTAAATAAAAATAATTATACGCTTGAATTGTCTCTATAGTATTAAAATCACATAATAATGTTTTAAATTATTGTTTTAGCTCTCTCAACCTCGGTCTCTCCAATTCTGTATATACTTTTTTAAATATTTTGCATCTATTCTGAGAAAAGGCTAATTTATAAAGAAAGGAATATGAGTGTGGAATAATCTAATTATATATCGAATAAAAAATATCGCAGTTTATGTAAAGTATGTTTCTTTTTTGCTGGATTTATATATATTGTCCCGATTTATTATATTCTGTTTATTCAACAATCTATATATGTCTTAAGTTCAACGGCATATTTATTTAATATTGTCTATTGCAACCATGTGAACGTTGCTCTTAGCTGCTTTGAAATTTCCCGGTTTCAAGCTCGAATCTCTGGATGCAGCGAGAATCGAGCGCTCGATCGAGCCACGACAGCATACATATACCGGAAGCTCGGCCGACTCGTTCTTTTCCGGTGCGGCGTGTCACAGGCGTATAGGTAATATTTTTCGTCTTTCATTATCACTACACAATACGTTAGTTTCATCGACTGCGAGACGGCGTGTTGGCTTTCCATTGAAACGGGCGCGGTTTCTCGCTCAGTTGACGTCGTTTTCTCGACGCCGCGACACGTACGATCGGTCCAAAATCGAGAAGAGGTGGCTTCTCGATTTTGGATTTCTGGCATTGTCCTGCTCCGATATTTAATGGAAAACCTGCGCTCCGTTTCTCATAACGTCTTCGCTTGCGCACTTCGCATGGCGACGTCGCCGTTAACATTATAGAGTCATCCATTCGTTCAGACGTCGCCGACGACCTACCTACCTACCTACCTACATACGTAACGAGAGGAATCCGAGGTAGAATTAAGAGCGCGAGAGTTCCTGAGCCCTCGAAAAAATTCATTCTTTCTTACACGGGGTATGTATTTAATATTATGTGACGCACGCGTTTCCAATTTTTTTCTTTTCAATTCTATTGCGATTCGAATATTTAGATATTTAGATTATTTCGTCATTGATTTCGACTCGCGATGATTATTATGCGATTTTCCTCTTTTCAAAATCGTGACCTCGTTTCCATTTACAGAAGCATTGTATTTTTTGTCTATCACGCGATATATATATATATATAT